TCTATTCCTTCCTTCCTTTCTTGCATCCCATTCTATTCCTTCCTTTCTTTCAACCCTCTCTATTCCTTCCTTTCCTTTCCTTTTTACTCCTTCCTTCCTTCCAACCCTCTCTATTCCTTCCTTCTTTTCTTGCATCCCTCTCTATTCCTTCCTTTCCTTTCCTCTTTACTCCTTCCTTCCTTCGTTCCTTCCAACCCTCTCTATTCCTTCCTTCCTTTCTTGCATCCCTCTCTATTCCTTCCTTTCTTTCAACCCTCTCTATTCCTTCCTTTCCTCTTTAGTCCTTCCTTCCCTTCCTTTCCTCCATCCCTCCCTCCTTCTACCAAGGAGTCAGGCAAAAGAATCCCACATCCGAACCTTGGCTTAATGGGCCTCTCTCTCTCTCTTCCCCCAAACTCACTTCCTTAGAAGACTAACGTCGGCCAAAGAGCCCTGCAGTTGGGTTAATGGGTTCGATCTTGGCTCAGGGAAACAAGCCAGAGATGTTTTGTGTCCTGCGTTTCTCTCAGGGAACTTCAGTTTCCACTATCCCTCCCCCGCCTCCCGGTTCACAGGGGGGTCCCTTGACCCCTCCCCGCCAGCCCGGGCCTATGCCCGTTGCGCTCGCAGCCTTCCCCTCCGTGCACAATCAACACGGGAAAGTACAGCGCATCCTGGTAGCACGGAGGGCTCTCCAGCGGCTCCGTCTCCGTGTTGTTGCTGCCCACGTGGCTCCCGCTAAGGCTCCGGAGAATGCCCCCACACCGCCGGGCGCCGCTCAGCGAGAAGCGGCTGCAGCTGAACGGCAGGCGGGCGTAGAGGGCCCGGGTGCCCCGCGAGGGCAGGGAGTTGCTGCTGACAGTCCGCCGGCAGCGTTGGCAGCTGCGGAGGTACGCGGCTCCCGCCACCGTGGTGGCGTCCATCAACACGGCCTCGGAGTAGCTGGGCACCAGCTGCTGGTTGGAACGGATGTGCCATTCCAGTTCGGTCATGTCCACCGTGTTGACGCGGGAGATTCGCCGCCCGTACGTCCCCGCAGCGTCCAGCGGGCTGGGCCCATCGTCCGCCCCAAAGAGTTTCTCCACGTGATAGTGGACGTTGGCCGTACGGTACTCGGACAAGACTCTCAGCGGCCAGGACAGGAGGAGGAAAGAGGCCAGCCAGAAGACACTCCGTCGTGTGTACCAGGGTGGCCGCCCCGGATCCGGGAAGACTAACATGTGCTCCTTAAAGTCCACGTTCTTCAGGTGCATCCCTTCGCGGGCCTCCATGTAGTCGTCCAAACCTTCATTCTCGCCAAAGAACCGGGCCCGCTGAGTCAGATAGGCGGCTTCCGCCTCGCCCGACGCGAAGCTGAAGCATTTCGTAAAGCGGAGTTTGGTCACGGGGTAATCCGAGAGGCCCAGCAGCTCCTTGGAGACGTCCTTCACCCCGTGGCCCGAGTAGTCGAACTCCGTCTCTGAGACGTGCGTGTTGACCCTCTCGTGGTAAACCTGGGTGGTGGTGTAAGCGTCCCCGTTGCGGTAACGGGTGACCTGCCTGGTACGGCGAATGTAGTGGTAGCTGACGGCCTTCCACCAGATGCAGGGCGTGGCCTGCTGCATGCGCTGGACTTTCTCGTAGACGCTGGCCGTGTCCACCCGGTATTGCATCTGCCCCTTGGCGAACCGGTGCCAGCACTCCACCAGGTACACCACGTACAACATGCCCAAGAAGGCCAGCGGGATGTAGATGTATCCGTTGGAGCACGGGCTGTCATGGTACACCAGCGATGCCCCTCGGTAGGAGCTGTCGTAGTTCAGGCGAGTCACCGTTGAGAGGCGGCACCAGGCCATGACGCCGAAGCAGCCGAACATCAGGAGGGTGAGCACCAGGCATTTCCAGTGGGACTCGCGGCAGAGCGAGCTGCTCAAAGACTGTTTTAGCGGACGTTGCTGCGGGGCGAGGGAGAGAAAGGGAAGGAGACGAGAGAAGGGAAGGAGAACCGGTTACAGTCCTGCCACTTCCCCACAAAGACCACCCCACCATGCCACCAAACCAGTAACAGGCAGTCCTCGACGTACGACCACGACCGAGCCCGAAATGTCGGTGAGAAGTCCACGGAAAGCCCCGTTTTGTACGACTTTTCTCGCCGCATTGGTTAAGCGAATTGCCGGGGTTTGTTAAATGAGGAACCCGGGGGATTTGAAGGGAATCGGGATTCCCCGCTTGTCGGAAAGGACACCAAAGGGGAAAAATCACGCGACACCCCCTCCGTCATAAACGCAAGCCCACGGTCCAGCCTCCCCGAAGGTTAGTCCCGTGAACGTTAGGGATGCTGCAACAGTCGT